CTATTTTAATCATCTTGCGTTGATATCCGATCATTTGCATTTTATTAAAAGCACAGCTATCTTAAAAATACCTTTAATGCCAGATTGGCTTGGTGTTAAGCTTGAAAGTGTACAATACGTTTTAAAATAAAATTATCAATAAACCAAAACCCAAGTTTTGCCCTAAGTAATAACCCTAATGAATAATTATATTTTTCTGACTTAGTAATATTATAGACTGTTATAAAGATTCAAAACCACAAGATAAAGCATTAAATATTACTGGTTTTCTAAATACTGGTTTTTATTAATAGTAATTCAATGATAAATACCTCGTGGTATTTTAATCTTTCTGCACTTACTACTCATATTTTATCATTTGCATAGAATTAAAAGCCTGAATTATTTTTTATTATAAATAACAACTTTAATGACCAATTGGTTTGATGCTAAGCTTGGAATTGTATATAAAATAATGTTAGAATAATGTCAGAATAAGCAAAAAAAAAAAAAGAAAAAAAAAAGTCAAAATAACATTAGGCAGTATTAAATGTTTCTTAGAAATACACATTTACCAGCACTATTGGCAAAATACTAATTTACCTAATGGTGTGTGTGTGTGTGTGTGTGTGTGTGTGTGTGTGTGTACAATACAAATAGACAACAAAACCCAGCTACTGCATCTGAATCAATAATGTTTGAAAAATTACTTTACTGGAAAAACAAAATTATAAAATAAATAACATTATTAGGGTTCAAAGCAGAAAATAAAGCATTTTTTTATATTTACAGAATGGTGTTTAACAGAGCAAGGACATTTTTGTCTGATAATATTTTTTTTCTTCTGGAGAAAGTCTTTATTTGTTTTACTTTTTAAAAAAAATCATTTTAAGGTCAACATTATTAACCACTTTAAGCTATTTTTTTCCCCGATAGTCTACAGAACAAACCATCATTATACAATAACTTGCCTAATTACCCAACCTGCAGTTAACCTAATGAACCTTGTTAAGCCTTTTAATGTCACTTTAAGCTGTATAGAAGTGCCTTGAAAAATATCTAGTCAAATATTATTTAGTCATAAAGATAAAATAAATCAGTTATTAGAAATTAGTTATTAAAACTATTATGTTTGAAAACATCTTCTCTCCATTAAATAGAAATTAGAGGAAAAAATAAATAGGGGGGCTAATAATTTAGATAATTCATATATATATATATATATATATATATATATATATATATATATATATATATATATATATATATATATATATATATATATGTGACACAAATTATATATAAATTTAAATATGTAACAAATTGATTTGTATAGCTTTGTTTCTATTGCATATGCATAATAAATATATCTAAAATGTATTATGTCGGAACAAACTTTTATTTTGGATATGATTAATCTTTGCCCAGCATTATTATTGATTTTTGTCTTTAAGTAGTTTCAGATGCAGTAATCTCTGTAAAACCCACCTGTGAGCGCAGGTCTTCAGGCTGTCTTGTCTGTAATTCTGTCCTCTGTGGTTTGTATCTGAGCTTTTCTGATGTTCTGCTCTCTGTCAATCTCTTTTTGTCTTCGTTCATCCGTGTTTGCATTGCCCCACATAGCGGACCAAAACATTTAAAGCACAAAGAAACCACAAAACATCTCAGCAGATAGGCGTGAAGATGTGTGGTTGATGTTTTTCAGTAGAACACCCTGTTTAATCGAAACCCCAAATATCTGTGAGGGCACGTGAAGATCACTTGCATCAGCTTTAATTAATGCACATCTTGCAGTCGCAATGCACTTCAAGTTTTTATATAGAGCAGTCTCCATTTCTTTGCATAATTAGCAACATCAAATAGACAAGATGTAATTGGAATTGTAGTAATTGGAATAAAAATAAATAGTGAATAGTAATCTTGATGTTTGTTGTTATATAAGAGGAAGTGAGGAATAATACTTTTTTTAGAATGCTTTTGTTTCTATATATTGGTTTTAATGAATGTATTGTTAATGTTTGCATCTTTTTGGCATTTGTAATTGTGCATGTGAAATATCTGAAATTTATTAACCGTCATTACTTGCTATATTGATATAAACATTCATATAAGATATAATATGTTGCAGGTAATACAACATAATTATATGTTGATTTATGCAATAAATTGTGCATATGTTTCATAGAAAAAAAAATATTTAAAAAATTATATATAAAATAGTATTATTTATTGTTACGTGTTTATGATGTTAAAGTGGGATGCTGTAACGTTTAAGTGAGACAGGTGTAATGTGTGTGACAGATCAAGAATGAGGCAAGGATCAGTTACTCTTATTTAAGCTTTTTACTCAATATTTAAAACAATATGTAACAATAATAAATGGGGAAAAAAATAAACATTTATAATTATTATCTTTAAACAAAAACAACGAGTGTAAGCCAAATAAAAAAAATTAGCAAAACAAAACAATCCTTAAGTCTAAAGTCTAAACTAGGCGTCAAAAAGAAACATATATATAGATATTGAGAAAAAGAAAAAAAAAAAAAATATATATATATAAAAATAAATAAATATATATATATATATATATATATATATATATATATATATATATATATATATATATATATACATACATACATACATACATACATACATACATACATATATATATATATATATATATATATATATATATATATATATATATATATATAGCAGATTTAATACACCTGTCGGTCACAATTTTTATGCTATATAAAAAGAATTCAAAATCTATATTTAAAATGAAGAAATTCCATAAGTAAATATTTACATAGTTTAAAAATCAACTAAAAACATAATTATATATTAATTATAAAAAAATTTCCCGATATCTTATAGAAAAATGTATATTAATATTTAAAAATAGTAAAAAAAAATAGTATTATACAAATATACACATACATGCGTGCGCACACACACACACACACACACACACACACACACACACAATTGAAGTCAGAGTTATTAGCCCCCCTGTTTATTCTTGTTTTTCTGAACTTTGGATCTCACTGGGTTGGTCTGGAGTTCAGCAGAGAGTCATACCGGCTCCTAAAACTGTAGAGACCATGCAGGTTATGTTGTGGTTATGATGTAGGTTTTAATCGGTCGGAATCTGAGGTTGACTCTGCAGGGGTGTTTTGAGTGATGCACCACTAAACTTTTTAACATGATGAGCTGCTACCCTGAGCACACACATACTAGGGCTGCACAATATATCCAAAAATGATTGTTATCGCGACAAGTATATGAATATACAATATATGAAGTATAATATTCATAGCACATATGTGCAATAAATGAAATTACTTTTCTGTGTCAAGCCTTTGTGTGCTGCATGCACAGGTTGTTTATCCAAATCTGACTAACCAGATGGGGCCTGTACTATATACATTTCCAACTCTACTATTGAAATTTTGAAATAAATACTGTTGAAAGTATTTATTTTTTACTGCTGAACAGTATGAATCCAGTATGGTTTTCAGTCATTTGAGGTGTTTTCAAATCTAAATGTTCTGGAATGCACTAGAAATATTCCTCAAAGATTTTGGTCCATTTTGACATGATAGCATCACGCAGTTGCTGCAAATTTGTCGGCTGCAGACCCATGATGGATAAAACCAAAAACCAGTCTGAGATTATTCGTGTTTTATGACATGGCACATTTTTCTGCTAGAAGTAGCCACCAGAAGATGGAGACATGTGGTCATAAAGAGATGGACATAGGCTGTTGGGTTGACACGATGCTCAATTGGTGCTAATGGACCCAAAGTGTGCCAAGAAAATATCCCCCACACCATTACACCACCAGCAGCCTTAACCGTTGATACATGGCAGGATGGATCCATGCTTTTATGTTGTTAATGCCAAATTATGACCCGACCATTCGAATGTCGCAGCAGAAATGGAGACTCATCAGAGCAGGCAACGTTTCTCCAATCTTCTATTATCCAGTTTTGGTGAGCCTGTGTGAATTGTAGCCTTAGTTTCCTGTTCTTAGCTGCAGGAGTGGCATCCGGTGTGGTCTTCTGCTGCTGTAGCCCATCTGCCTCAAGGTTGGACATGTTGTGCATATACAGATGCTCTTCTGCATGTCTCGGTTGTAACGAGTGCTTATTTGAGTTACTGTTGCCTTTCTATCAGCTGGAACCAGTCTGGCCATTCTCCTCTGACCTCTGACATCAACAAGGCATTTGCACCCACAGAACTGCCGCTCACTGGATATTTCCATTCTCTGTAAACCCTAGAGATGGTTGTGCGTTAAAATCCCTGTAGATCAGCAGTTTCTGAAATACTCAGACCAGCCCGACCCCGTCTGGCACTAACAACTATGCCAAACCATTTTCAAAGTCACTTAAACCACGTTTCTTCCCCATTCGTCTTGACCATGTCTACAGTACATGCCTAAATGCATTGAGTTGCTGCCATGCGATTGGCTAATTAGAAATGTGCATTAATGAGCAGTTTGACCGGTGTACTGTACCTAATAAAGTGGCTGATGAGTGTATGTATGTATGTATTTATGTGTGTGTGTGCGTGTGTGTGTGTGTGTGTGTGTGTGTATATATATATATATATGTATATACACACACACACACACACACACACGTATATATATATATATATATATATATATATATATATATATATACATATATATATATATGTATATATATATATATATGTATATATATATATATATATATATATATATATTTATTATAATTTTTTTTAATGTTTTTTTAGCATGATCATTAAATGAATAAAATATAATTTTTTTAATTGTTTAATTTCTGATAAAATTTGTAAGTTAGTTATAACATTAGAAATATTATCGCAACACTCACTATATTTTCCCAGTAGTGCAGCCCTAACACACACACACATCACGTTAAGTTAAATAATGTTAGGATAAGGCTGTCCACAGACTAAACTGATTCCTCGCTCTGTTTCTCCAAGCGCTCTATATGAATAATAAACTCATGCATGTTCTGCATCTAAACTGCAAGTGTGTCAAAGCGATGCGCATTAATAATGTCCACGCTTAACAGTCAAATATTAAGGTTTACCGATGAAAAGGACTATTGATTAATTGTCAGGTAAAGGGATAGTTCACCCCAAAAATGAAAATGACCTCATCATTTGCTCGCTCTTCACTTATTTAAACCCTATTTGGGTTTTTTATGTGGAACACAAAAGATGATGCTGGAGAATGCAGATTTCTGGAACCCAGTTACTTCTATAGAATTTTTCTTCCTACTATGTGATGTTGATCTCTGCTTTGTCCACCTGTGATGTTGAAAATACACCTCTGCAGTTTAACAACGTGATTTTTAGTGACATTTTAGTCGTTTGAAATGATATAGAGGAAAAATAAGTCTGTAAAATAACAGAAGATGTGCTGGCAGTTCATTACAAGGTTTTAGTATCATTATATTCAACACCAACCCAGACAATATATGACTTTACACTATTAGAAATGTTCAAAAAGTCACTTATTTAGATTTTTCAAAGTTAAAAGTTGTTCGAAAGAAAGATCAAGGTAATTCAAAAGCATAACTAAATTGGGAAAAATACAGAAAATAAAAACACTAAATACAGAAAACATATACAGTTTTCAACATTTAAAGTGGATCAAAAAGTTTTTCAAAAATATCCAAAGACAAGAATGCGTGTTGTTCAATATTTATCAACAATTTTCTTAATAATATACAATTTATTTAATCTGTTTACTTGTTGATGTGCTTGGGGTGTTTTGAGGTTGGTAAATCGAGCAGATTCTCACAGGGCAGATTTTCTGTTTTTCACACAATACCCTCCACCCTTCTCTTTCCCACCCGTTACTTTCTTTTGTTTTTAGTCATTTGTGGTTGGCAGCTCGTTGGCACTTTGTTTACTTCAAGCACCGCACAGTTCATTAGAAACACACACACAAACACGCACTACAATTGACCTTGTTTTGCTTGTGGATGGTGCTGCAGTAGGTTTTTTCTCGGATGTAATCTGCAGGCTTTCTTTACTTATTAATATCAGCTTATTGAATCTGTGATTTTATAATGTCAGTATAGTGGAATAAGTCGAATGTCACATGTTCTTCTTGAAGAAAGATGCACTAAAACTTGACTTTTGAGCTGGTAATTTGTTTAAACGCTTCAATTTTGCCTCAAAACATCACATCCTATTAAATTAATAAGTGAAAAAGTAGTAACTTGCTGAATTCAGAAACATATCCTTTATATTCAGTATTTTTAGAAACATTTATGGCATGTTTTGTCAAATTTCTGTTCAGTAAGTAAAAAAAAATCCTAAAATAAATAAATAATTTAGAATAAAACAAAAAACAATATTCATGGGAGAAAAAAATATTTTTTACTGTAGTTTCATTATTAATTTCTTACTGCTACTTGATTTGTTTGTGTATATGTGATTGCAGTCAAGTCTGATTTGTATTTTGTGTGTTTTTGCAATAATGTGTGACTTCAGTTAAGTCTTTAGCAGTTTGGTGCAATGTAAAAGTTGAGCATATTAACTTGTATTTTGTAGAAGTGAACT